ACACACACACACACACACACACACACACACACACACACACACAGTATCTTCGGGATTTCATGATCATTACCCCTGGGAGAACTCCTTTCTACTTGCTAGTGTTGTGTCAGAGACCCCCAGGACCTCAGAAATCTTTAATAAAAGGCAATCACATAGGTTAGATACAATTATCTTAAAAACTCTTCCGATTTTCTGGTCATTGGTAGGCCTGTTTTAGGCTTACACTGTCTAACACAGGAACCATTTTTCACATGTGGCCACTGGGCGGGGACTTGTAGTGTGGCTGGTCCAAATTCATACATGTTCTAAGTATAAAGTATACACTGGCCTTTCAAAGGTTTAAATTGTTTCCATGTCATTTATTTCCTTTTCCTTTTTAAGATGTGGCTACTAGAAAATTTAAAATTACACGTGGGTTGCTCACTGTTTCTATTAGGGCTGGTTTAGAGTAGAAGGGTTGACCTGTATGTAAAGTTACTGTAAAAGGAATAAACTGAAGCATTTAAAAACTACTCTTTTTAGTTCTAACACGTACTGGCCTAGTTGAACGTGATTATATCCCGCCTTATTTCAGAAAGGATTATAGATCACCTGCAGGGAAAAAAGACTATTGACTAAAGGAATCAGGAAAGAATAGAAAAAAGGTAGAATGGTTGAAAAATAAAAGCCCCAAAGCTAAAGTTAGACCCCAGGTCTGGATCTTAACTGGTTAAGACAAAGGGAAAATCAATGAGAAAATTTGTATGTCTACAGGATGAAAACATACCAGTTGTGCAGGAGGAATGACTTTGCCCGGCCCTGAGCCACAGTAGATGTTTCTCTTGGGTCCTCATAAAGGAGATACTGTGATGTAGTGAACAGCATCCCCAGCAGTTTGCCTACCACGAAGACAATGGTGGGTTTTATGCGGCTCTTTTTTATATCTGCTAGTTATGAAGATGTACTGTCTGGTTAGAACCTTGGGTCCTCATCCATCCTTCTGTGGCAGGCGGGTGATAATGCGCCACTCAGATTCCCTGCTTCAGCATGCATAATTGACCAACAGCCCCAGACACTGGGCTCTGAATTCTACCTTGCTTACTGCTGAGGCCACACTTCCCACCCGCTGCTCCCAGCAGATGACTGTGCAACAGGGATGCCGGTGCGGGCTGTTCTCCAGATGTGGGACTCGACTGATGGGCACCTTTCCTCACGGACTCTCCATTGGCCTGGGTGAACTTTCCTAACCTTGGGCTGAGGTCTGAGTCTCTTATCCAACCCTTCTTCCCTCCTCCTTCACAGGGTCACCTCCTCTGGCTCCTCCCTCTCTCCCCCACACATCCTGCGCATCTAAACCCATGTCAGTGTCTGACTCTCAGAGGACCCACACTGGTACACTAACCCCATGCTGGGTGGGACACAAGGTTCAGCTTCTGTGGTCTGCTCTCGCACTAAGCTCAGAGGCAACAAGAAGGGACCCGAGCGTCAGGCCATCTTCGTGCGATTCCAGCATGTGGTTGCTTGTAGGGTTCCGGCTTGCCTGAATCTTCTCTTCTTTCCCTTACCTGCATCAGATGCAGAGATGCAGTCCTAAAGAAGCTACTTAAAGGTCCCTTACAGTCACATAAGCCGATCATCCCCTGTAACAAATTCCTTTCTATATATTTGTGTGTGTTCAACTAGAGAAGTAGAACCGGCAAGAGATACATACAGGCGCTATTCCCAGCCCTGTGTGGGGTATTGCGCGCTGTTCCCCTAACCTTTTGGGTGCTTTCTTCCTAAGCTCCACATGGTTGCCTTAGATTCATGTGCTGATCAGTATCCTGCCAATTACTGGAGAAGGGCCCAAGAACTCTTCAGAGTTCCCCCTTTCTCAGAAGCTCTTTCCAGGACTTTTGTCTATGAACTCTAGCTGCCTTGGACTCATCACTGTTTCTACTTAGCTTAGGGAGTCTGCTGGGCTCTGCCTGTGTTTCCCTCCAAACTCTTTCAAGGCAGTGAGATGCGGTGGTCACAGGGCTCACCTCACTTGTTTTTCATCTTTTAGGGATCGCTATCCTTTGACATAGAGTTTCTTGAAAATCCGTGGTGGCTCATATTGTGTCCTTTGTTTTGGTTATTTTAGCTGGAGAGTAAATTCAGGAAATTCATCTTGGTTGACAACAAAAGTCCACTACATGTATTTGGAAT